TTCAGGGAGAGCGGGGAAGCGGCAAGAGGTGGATACGAATGAGACACGCACGGATGTCAAACCGGTACAGCATTCGTGCGTCAACACCCTAACTTATACCAGCGAAACCGGTCATACCGTTCATACACTCACCAGTGTAGATGCGAGGGACGCCGCCAACTTGTGTGGGAGTCGAACCCACAAGTGCACGGAATGCACCCAGCCCTGCAAGCGTGTCGTTGCGCGGCTAGACAGCCGCTCAACGCTGGCATTTAACGCCATCCAGGGGCGGCTAGATGGAAGTGAAGGGAGGGGACAGGTGCAAGCCATAGCGAAGTTGGACGACGTGCAGCGGACGGCAGTGCAAGTGGATGAACACGCAAGAACGAGTCATTCCTGCAGAGCCGTGATGAACGTTGTTCGACCTTCTGTCTTGGTGGTGATGGTACCGGTGACGGTGAACGAGTCGTAAGCAGCGTACGCCATACGATCATTATCGTCTGCGAAGCTGGCGCTGCCGAAGAACTCGTCGTAGTTTGGCAACTGTTGCATGACGGCGATGCTGTCGGTGCACACCGGATAACTGCGGCTGCCGATTGTGAGGACGAGCGGGAGGACCGGTAGTGAGCCGACTACAGTGACAGAAGTGGGGTTGGGTGACAGGGTGGCCGAGGCGTGTGGACCATCCGACGGTAAAACAAGGGCACTGCGGCTACGCTGCTCCCAAGCCAATACCATATCAGTCGTGTCGGCGGGCACGGTGGCTGCGGTAGTTCGCTGAACAGCCGCCTGGAAGGTGTGCACTCGTTTGGGAGGGCGTTTGCCGGGGGCACTCGCTGCTGCTACAAGCGAGCCGCTGAGGAAGACGCTATTCATATAAGCTTTGCTATTGGAGGGGCTGATCTTGGCACCATACACGTAGAGGGGCGTGCTGCTATCGGCCGCTGCTTGTAGCTGAGCGACGAAGTCGTCGGGAGCGGATTCCCTGATGGCGAGCTCCACGCGTCCGGCGTCGGGACTGTCACCGTTGCCGCACGCGACCCACGCCTTAAACTTGCGGAACGGCCCGCCCCGGAACATCCCGCCGTGTGGGATGAGCAGGAGGGCGCTGCCATCCGACGCGTGCTTGTCTTCGGGGCGGGCCCTGTCGCTGCCGACATCGTAAACGGGGAACCGAAGCCTGGCGCTGTAGAGCATTGGGACAGCGGAGGAGGGCTCCACGGAAATCCGCGTCGCTGAGGAGACTTTAAACTGCCCCACCGTCACCCCAGCGAAACGAGAAGTTATGAAAGGCGGCAGGGAAGCTGCATCCACGTTGGCGAACGTCACGCGGTGGCCGAACGCGTGGCTGCTCTCCAGCCTGCCGAGGACGACATCGTCAATCTGCATAATTACTATCCCCTGGCCGGCGGTATTCACGCCAGCGATGAAGCTGCCGTAGCGGCTCTGGGCGCCGGCAAAGAGGCGGTCCTCATTCGTTTCTGTGGGGCCGGCCG